AGTCCAATTCGGCAAGGTGTCATCACGTCAAATGGCAAAAGGTTTTGTACAACTGAATAATTGAACAGGTAGCTTCTAAATAAATTATTGTATGAAGTCCCTATTTCTATAATAAACATGCAGTATTCCCTTGAGTTTGAAGTGAAACATAGAGCTTTAGCAGGACGTCGCCACTTCACCCTATTCTCTGTAGCCTTTTTCAGCTGGCTTCACAATTATCCATGGGTTATTTCTTTTTCACATGATACTGGCCATATCACCTTCGGATCCATGCCCAAGTCGGTGTTTCCTATTCGATTTACACTCGAGGGAACGATGCGGAATATAGTTCGATGTTCAATCCATCTCCAATTCCTTCGGCATATTCGTTGGACGATAAGTTCTTGAGTGATTTGTTGCCAGAGTTCTTTGTTGTTTTATATATATATATATATATATATATATATATATATATATACGAATACTTTGAAAATACTTACAGAATAACTGGATGAAGGAAATATTACAGAGATGACATTAAACTCAAGCGAAAGACGACAGTTGTTTGGTGTTACAAAGAAATGTTTCCATCAAAGCAACAAAAATCGTGATATGCTTTTAAGTTGTGAAACCTTAGGCTGAACAGTGATTCAGAAGAGCGTGTGTATAGTAAAACAGTCTACTATTGAAGAAATTGGAAATCATGAGCCGTTGGATCGGGTCCCACTGGCTTAATGGGTTATGAGCTCGCTAGCCTTGTAACCAGAAGGTCCTGGGTTCAAACCCTGGCGGCTGAATACTGTCAAAGAGTCACCGACTAGGGCGAAATGGCAGTCCAGTACTCCCTGTAGGTTTTCCAACGGTTCACGATGAAGTCCTGTAATCTACCACTAAGTTCCAAGCAGTAGACAGTTGTCTGAGCCAGGGAAGAAGTAATCAACCTATGTCGAAATGTAGTGATTTTGTGAAGTAAAATAACAAATATGCAGCAGTAGGTATTATCTAACTGCTACGATTTTTCATTAAAGTAAACTTCTGAATAACAGACTAATAATGAGGTGATTTCAATTAACCGACATTTTATGCACAAGTTCTTTGAAAAGAAAAGGTCAAAGCATCAATAAATAAATGTGAAAGACTAAAGCCAAGATAACATAGACTAAACCGAAAGCACTTTTACTCCTACATATTTGAAATTATCCTCATTTACTTAGTTTCCCTTCATCATCAAAAGGCAATTTTGTATCACATGTTTGACCATATGTTTGTTCAAAGGTATTTCTACTTTAAACCGCATTTTTAGGTTTATTCATTAACTGACTTTGGATTCAATGCCGACTATAAAACGTGAATACTCATCTAGTCAGTTTTACTATTGTCACATGCAGAAAAATACGGGCACAAACAACTAACCTCTATTACTCTACAATTTTATGATAGGATTAACTGAATTACCTACTTGTTACTTAAACTATACTTTAAAAGTAGTATTTATTTTCTGCATATTTCTTTTGATCATTCCTGTGTTGTATGAATTTTAGAACACTATGGCATCTACTATGGATAATGTATTCATGTAGTGCAAATTTCCAGTAAATGCGTAGATATAGAACTATGCATAACTTTAAAACATGTTAACCATAATTTGACTAAAGACAGTTAATACGAATATTACAGAAATTAGAGGAAGAAATTATGATTCTCAAAAAGATGTTGAAAAACAACGGCTACCCTCTGAGACTCATTAACAAGGATGGAAGATGTGAAAGCTCAAATATCAAACAAATTACAGTGGGAAAAAAACTTGTCTTCATTCAACTCGATTTTAAAGGTGAAAATATTGCAGCGATAGTCAACAGAAGATTGAGTACGTCACTAGCCGGAGCCTATCCTGCAGCTAAGTCAGTTCCCGTCTATCGGACAACATGCTTTTTGGTGCAATCAAAAGTCGACAGATACCCTTCTCATGTTTACTCCAATCATGTATGCAAATTTATATGTATCTGCGAGAGAAGTTACATTGAGATAACAGAAAGAAGGGCATATCTCCGATTTTCTGAGTATGTAGCGAAAAGTTTACATCTCAAGAGAACAAACACTTGCAGTAGTGTCATTACCAGTGATTTGTTTGATACGGGTTACGAGGTGGGAATAGCGAAACCCTTTAAAATTATCAACAAACAAAGAACCTCAATTCTCTTCAAGTTTGCAGAAGTAATCTCTATCAAAATGCTCGAAACCCGATATTTGTGTTCAGAAAGAAGAAGTTATCAGTCTTCCCTCACCCTGTCTGGTAACTGGTTATCGTCAATGTCTCTCTAATTTATTTAATTACGTGATATTTGGCTTAAACATTACTCCCTCTCCCTTTGATATAGTGTAATTTTGCTTGTCTTTAGTTTCTATGAATTGAGGTGAAGTCATCACATTGCTACTCAATTTATAAGTTAATCATCATCTCTTACGCACCTCTCTTCTTTATTACGTAGCATCTTTACCACTATATGCATACATTGATTTTGTTTAAAGCTGAAATCCCTGTGTAATTTGCTGAGCATCGTTCATTAAATTCGGAACCTCTTGTCAACTGACATCATGTAAAATTTGCAAGTATGTTGAGACTTTTCTGTACATAAACTTAATAATAATAATAATCTATTTAGGCTATAATCAAGAGATAAGAAGCCAACGAAATAAATCATGTTGCCATATGATTCTGCACAAACCACTGTTGTTCTTGCTTTATCCAAAGGTTCTAAGCTATCCTTTTTTGAAAAGCAATAAAGCATAACACCAAAATTTGGCAGTGATTTTTATTGAATTCAGTCATAAAAATGCTACTGGTAAGTATCAATTAGTCGATACTGAAAATATATATATATATATTCAGTTGCTAATATCTACAAAACATAAGGTAAATGAAATCCATCCTAAAAACAATAATCATATATATATATAATCATATATATATATATATATATATATATATATATATATATATATATATATATATATATATATATATATATATATATATATATATATATATATATATATATATATATACTGAAATCAACAGAATAGTCAGTCTACTCTGTACACACATTTGTTTTCTTCTTCCATTTGCTATCTATAGCTCTACAAAGTTATTATTACACACATTTTCCCACCCACTGGAAATTCCAGTGTACTTTTTATCAGTATTGCTAAAATCTGTGATCTGTAATAATCTTCAGAAGTATTACTTTAGAGAAGAAAACAAAAACAAGCACAAGTGACTTCAGCCGCACACTATGAAATATATCATAAATGCAGTCATAGGTGTACGAGTATATACACTAAGGTCAAAAACATTTTTTAACAGATAATAAACACAAAATCATTGTGATGATAATGTGAAGGATTAAGGTATCTTTGTAAAGTGTTGTCTAGCTACATAGATTTCAGAAAACATGGGGACTTTAGTAACAGCTGCAGAAATTTTCTCTGAATTTATAAAAATAAGCTTCTTATGGTTAACAATGAATGTTAGTAGATGACTGATAAATAGCTCTTTATAGCTTTATTTATTTTCCCCCTAAACACGTATGCCTTTTTAACTCGACTTCTTCATAGTGTGTAAGTCTACGGCAGTAAGTAATGTAGGCAAGGATTTGTTCTCCTCTATTCTCTATCATGCGACAGACAGTGGACAATGAGGAAACAGGCATAAAATGGACCCACACGAGACACTTGGAGAATCTGGACTTCGCCGATGATATATGTCTGATTTCCCACAAACAAACTGGAAGATATGCAAGTGAAAAGCAACAGGTTGGCAGAAGAAGCATCCAGAGAAGATACGACTTCAGATGAACATAGAATAAACAGAGGCATGCGATGAAGATTCCTGGCCAACAGCAACAACAACCACAGACAACAATCAGCCAGCATAAATGGGAGGAACCTAAAAGAAACAACCTCCTCCACCTACCTGGGAAGCATCGTTTCAACTACAGGCGGACGGAACCTACGAGGATATCAATTCAAGGATCGAGAAAGCAAGACAAGCTTTCATTACTCTCAAGTATATGTGCAGGAGGTCAACAGCACTCACCATGAAAATGAAAATAAGATCCGGATTTTCAACTCTAATGTGAAGTCAGTGCCACTTACTATACGGATCAGAGACTTGGCGCGTCATAAATAGAATCTCAAACAAACTACACACCTTCATCAACATCTGTCTTCGCTCAATACTCAAGATCAGATGGCCAGAAAAGATCAGGAACAGGCATCTCCGGGAGCGAACCGACCAGGAACCTATTGTGCAACATATAAGCAGAATAAAATGGAGGTGGATTAGCCATACTCTGAGGAAAACATCAAGTGACATCACTAGACAAGCCATCGCTCGAGTGGAACCCGAAAGGGAAGCGGCGAGTTGGTCGTCAGTGCAAGGGTAACTTGGAGGAGGTCACGTGAACAGGAGATGAAAGCATGTGGGCAGACTTGGAGCCAGGTGTAAACTTTAGCAGAGAGCCGAACGCAATGGCGACGTGCAGCTGAAGCCCTATGTTCCTTTAGGAATTAAAGGAAATAATAATAATTCTCTATCATATCGACTGATGTATGTGATGCAAATAAATCGATGATGTTTCAGCATTTATCCGAATCAATGTAATGATACCTTTTTGTCAGTATAAATATGAACGCGTATAATAGCAGGTTGGACAAACAAAACGAAACAACGCAAGGGTTCAAACCCAAAGATATCTAGTCACTTAATAGATAAACGAGATATTAAGTTTTTATATTGTTAAGTTTATAAAGTTAATAATATTTAGAATGATAATAATAAATTTTACAAAGATTAACCGTTCCCCTGCAAGAAACAAACTACTAAAAGCTTTCCCTTCAGTTATACAGGTATGTTTACCACTTCAGTATACTTACAAAAGGTACTTCTTCGAAATACAGCTAAAATGTTTTCCTCAATGAGTGAATATATATGTTTATAAAACTGATTAACTGAAACTCACCAATATACGTAATAGCCAACGACGTGCTCTTGCATGACCAAAATTGAATGGATTGAAAAGGTAAAATGTCATGAATGAAACAAGTACAAATGGTGAGGCATACGCAGGTGAATACATAACTTCACTAAATAAAAAATAAATCAATGCACATCCCCATATCACAGCCAAGAAAAATGAAATCTGTAAAAGAAGAGGAAGAGAAAAAAAGAAGTAATTGTTATCTTAGTGATTACAAATTTTCATTAAATCAGAATGATGCAATGACTTGTGACTGAATAATATTCAGAAATATTGTCAGTATCATGGAATTTATTGAATTATTCGGAAATACTGAAAAGTATAATTGTGGTACACTTTAGTATGAATTTCTGTGATATATATATATATATATATATATATATATATATTAAATTGTCGGAGGCAATCGACAAGAAGTCCTACCTAGACCTAGGTTTCGTGCTAGCTGGCACTCAACATTCAGCAAGGCAAATATCCGGCTATCGACCAAAGGGCATGTGCACTGCTTAGCAGTCCGCCCAGTCCTCCTTTATAGCTGTGAGACTTGGCCATTGAGAGTGGAAGACATGAAAAGATTAGCTGTCATTGATCATAGGTGTCTGCGCTCCATCTCCCGTGTGAAATGGTATAATAAGGTGAGCAAGATTGAGGTTAGGCGTCAAGTGCTAGGTAAGGAGGGGAAATCAATCGACGAGGCTGTGAAAGTACATCGACTGAGATGGTTAGGACATGTGCTACGTATGCCTAGTCATCGCCTTCCTCGACGAGCAATGTTAGCGGATATAGGGTCAGGCTGGAAAAAAGCTAGCGGCGGTCGAACCAAAACATGGCACCAGTCAATGAAATCCACAAGAGTGAATATATATATATATATATTCACAAAATGTGCATTTGACTGGTTTCTTATAATCATTCCTTATTTCCTTTAATTGAAACTTCATTTTAATTTTAAGTCTGTAATTTTACACACATAATGCTAAGGCAACATTATTGTGGATTCATAAAACGTGGGTCACAACTCACATACACGCGGTAAACTACAACATTCATGTGAAGACAGTTGGTATTAGCTAGCTGAAACAAGATTCGAGATTACAAATCGGTAATTTAAAAATCCATTACCTAAATCGATAGAGCGTCAACTGAAAGTACACAGTGACCAACATCAGTTACTATTGCCTTAAGCTTCAGAATATTTGATATTTAATTTTACAGCGTTATTTAATCCAATAAAAGATATAGGAGCATACAGTTCAAATATAAATTCAATTAGAATTATTGTTTTGTGATTGGCTTGAAAACTACTTTAGTTACGGTAATCTCAACATAATTATAAACATGATTTACAATATACTATGTTAATCAAAATGTAAATACTTTCTAAATCATAAATCCGAGAACGGATGGCATCTATATTGTCAGGTGTATGACGTTTAAGAGTTTTGTGACTGGGGGCGATAAACACGATGACGTCACAAAACTTTCCAATATTGTTTTCAGATATTCATGATTCACGATGCATTTGTCCAAATCACAAAAAAACTCTTAAACGTCATACATACACTCAACAATACAGATGTTCTCTGTTCTCGAATTTATGGTTTATAAAGAAATATTGCACAGTAAGCATATGTGTTGAGCGAAATATAAATACGGTTTGCAACAAAGATATAGAGAGTAAACACAAATTACTGTAATTTTTTTTCTAACTCTACTTCTCTAATACATTTTCAACTGCTACGTTGATGTATGTACAATTTTTCTAATGCCTTCCTTTGATAAATCTAAATGATGAAATAATTTAGAAGTATCTTATTGGAATACACGTAGAAAACTATCATAACAGAAGCCTTTACAGAATGGAACCAATAAATGATTACTGAAGAAATTCCACATTGGATAAGTTTATTTTAAATGTCACACAGAGATGTAGTATTGTGGTGGTATGATACAGACAATGTGTGCCAACGGAATGTTATTCTCACATTTTCCCACAGTTCAATTCGGCATTAATAACAGAATACTACATATCTATTTGAACATTCTATTTGATGTTAGAAACAGAATTCTTTTCCCACGGTTATATACTGCACTAACAACAAAATACAATGTATATTTGAACATTGTATTTCATCTCGTTTGATGTAGACCGAAATCACACGCTCAGCGATTGGTTGAAGAATATAAACTGTATATACATATAAACAGCGGTTTGATTAATCAAAAATATGCCTTTGATCCCGTGTCTTGCCTACTGTTGTTACAGTATTAACAAATAGATGACATTTCGAGAATGAATTCTTGCTCAAAATCATATCAATTTAGTCACACGGTTTTACAAGTCTTACATATAAAATCTCTCATTCTGACCCTCCAACTTCCTTTTGCTGTTTTTTGTTGCCACTTTCCATATCTCCGGTAGAGGCAATGCGTTGCGTCATTCCGATTGCACGTGTGCGGTATTGAATCGATGAAAAAAGCTTCAGTGATTAACCTCTCTCTCTCTACCTACCTAACTATATTACTTTATAATACTCTCATCCTGTTTGAGGATTTCATCATGAGCTGGCATCGGATACAGAACCATTGGAAAATAAGCTGGGAGTACTAGACAGCTGTTTCCTCAGCCTAGTTTTATATTTATTGGATCGGGTCTCAGTGACTTAATGGTCTACAAACTCGCTAGCCTTGTAACCAGAAGGTCGTGGGTTCTAAACCTGGCGGTGAGTGCGTACTGTTGAAGAGTCCCAAACTAGACTGACGAAACAGCTGTCCAGTACTTCCTGGTGGTTTTCAAATGGTTTTCTAACCGATGTCAGCTTATGATGAAATCCTCCAACCAATCAAACAAATCCCCACAAAACCAGTAGTTGAAAACTCTCATCCTGTCTCAACCTATTTTGTGATTTCATGCAAGTGAATGCAGTGCAATGGCTGCGCTTTTTTCTTCTAGGTTACTTAACTTAGCAGGGTCAATTATTCTAGGTCTAAGTAATGTGAAATTATATTCTACCACAGTGCCCAAGTTTTACACTTAAGTTAATTATTATTAAAGAACTCTTCCAGATAAGCAGTTATTCCTTAGTGTCGTTTAAAGTTAGGATGATTTTTTCAGTTTAACTAATGAATGAATAATTCAGTTGAGGCTATAAATAATTATTCTAAATTGATACCAGAGGGATACACTAATGTAGAATCCCAACAAAATTTCAAAACTTCTAACTCCTCATTAATTTCACGCTAAAAACACTCAACAAACAGGATTTTTATACCAATTAACAAAGCCATATATATATACATATATATATATATATATTCAATTTGAAAGACTATATGAAACATTGCGATGTAAAGTATACATTGACCGATAAAGTATACTGTAAACGATCAATAACTTTTACCTCTTTTAAAATGCATTGGAAAAATTTTATGTTAACTGTTAGCTGACAAACTATGCATAAACTAATTGATTAGCTTAATTAGGATTATCTTCATTGTGAAAGCAATTTTATTAAAAAAGTTTAGGAAGGGAAGAAATTTTCAAAGTAATTAGATAATTTGTTTTCTTTCTTCATACATACAATCTTAATATGCCCTATAATATATATATATATATATATATATATATATATATATGCAAGCATTGGTTTGTAGGGTTTGTGTTTGATTGGATGGAGGATTTCACCATGAGCTGACGTCAGTTAGAGAACCATTGTAAAACCCGCAGGGAGTACTAGAGAGCTGATTCGTCAACCTAGTTTAGGACTCCTCATCAGTACGTATACAGTGGGATTCGAACCCAGGGCCTTCTGTTTACAAGGCAATGTCAGCTCATGACTTTTGTTGCTATCCTCTTATCAACATCCAATTCATCTGAACTTACTAATTGTATTTTCGTTTGACAAATTTAATGTATACACACACACACACAAAATAACCATATATATTTGCGATTGTACAGCTATGAAAATGAATTCGCCGAAAAGAGACTCTTCGCTGAACTACTTGTCTTCTGTCTACTAATGTTCAAATGGGAATTATTCATGAATTAAAAAGTAGCATGATGAAATCCTCCAACAGATCAAACAAAAGACCTACAAAACTAATACTTGAAAATTGATCTGATGGTCACTAGTGACTGGGTCCTATTCAGGCAGTTTCCTGTAGTTCTAATGCGAAGACGTGACCAGTAGGGTACAGAAGGTCGGGTGTGAGGACAAATACTCCCCGAAGCCATTAGCTAGTGGTCGAGCTATGTCGTGAATTGGCAGAAGTTAGAATTTATGGACACGCCATTGGATAGGCTCCCAGTGGCTTAATGGTCTACGAGCTCGCCTTGTAACCAGAAGACCCTAGGTTCGAACTGTGGTGGTAGGTGGGTACTGCTGAAGAGCCCCGAAGTAGGCTGACAAAACAGCTGTCCAGTACTCCTTGTAGGTTTTCCAATGGCTCTTTAACCAATGTCAGCTCATGATGAAATCCTGTAACCAATCAAATCCCTACAAACCAACACCTGAATTAGGATATTTATTTTCAAAGAAAACCAGGTGGTGACTCATCCACTAAGTGATATTAATAATATTATGGTTATTATTCTTCGCCATCAGTCTATAATGAAAAACCATAAAGATGATAATCGCTTCATTCTTAAATACAAATGAAAAGAACGACAGTTCAATGAGTAAATTTACAAAGATCCTACGGAGTCATAACTCGTGGAATAAAGTGAATATATGAGGAAGACTACTACTGAAATTCCATATTACACTATTGTGTCAAATATAGACAAAGCTAGCAACAACAACAACAACCAGCATCAATCCCCATCGAAGGGAGAGATTTAACAGAGGTTACTTCCTTACTTCATTTATCTAGGAAGCATCTCTTCGACTAAAAGTCAGCGGAACGGATGAAGATGTGAAAGCAGGCCAGAATCGGAAAGGTAAGATACGCCTTCGTCAACCTGAAATCAGCTTAGAAATCCTCTGCTCTCACTCAGCATAAAGAACAAGATTCGAATTCTCAATACCAATGTTAGGTGAGTCAATCATTTCTTCTACACAGGTCAGAAACGTGACATCTGCATTACTAAAAGGAATTTCAAAAAGGCTACTGCGGACTTTTATCAACAGCTATCTTCACTGGCCCCATACTGAAGATTAAATGGCCGGCCGGCTGGTCAAAAAGAATTAACAACAAGAAACTCTATCGGTGAACGAACCAACCAAAAGCTAATGGCTGGAAAAATATGCAGAAGAAAATTCAGATAGATCGGGCATACATTGAGGAGGCCATCGAACGACATCGCATGTAATGCAGGTTATTGCTCGAGTGGAATCTCAATGGGAAGCGATGAGCGGATCGTTGCTTCGAAGGTGACGTGAAGGAGATCATGTGAGGAAGAGATGAAAGAGTTCAATCAATCGTCGACCCAGCTGATGAGGACGGCAGAAAACAGAACAAGTGGTGTGTTGCTGAAGACCTGTGTTCCACCTGGAACCCAAGGAAATAATAATAATATCAAGTCATTATTCTTTGGATTTTAATCTACAGGGTTGTTTTAATACCTGAAGACTTTATAAACGTTTATCTTCAAGACAAGTGAAGTTAGACCTATGTAAGAGTAAATATTCGTTTAAATGGCACTTAATTAAACATCACTTCTTGATAAGAAATCAACTCACAGGAGTCTTATACTTGCATTTAAAGCAAAAGGCATTCAGAAATCAAATTTTCATTATTTATCAAGAATAAGAAATAAACAGCATGAATTACATAAACCTTTTATATAAGCAGATAACTTTATAGTCACTTTTTTAGTGTACTATGTGCCCCCCCCTCCAAATAAAAGCTAAATATAGCACAAAAAGGGTAAAAAGCCGCTAACTCGATAAGGTTTACACTACACAAAAACATCGACATATTAATAATAATAATAGCACCGAACCGAAAGGTGCGTTCATACACAATACTGAATTTTCAGTGAGTTTCATAGCAAGGTATATACCGACTGCATAGAATCATAAAACAATATGATAATCGAAAATTCATTATCTGAAGAAATATTCTTCTCCAAAGCTACTACTCCATAATGTTCTTCCTCCAATTCCTTCAAAAATCTCACAGCGGTAGGTAGAAACCTACTCCGAATTGTAAGCGAGTATAGACCGCGATTCACTATGGTAATGAGAAGATTAAAACAATGTGAAACGGAGTAGAAGCCATGCATTTTAATGCATAGGAAATTCAGGTAGCCCAGTGATTTAAGCAGGCCATCAAAAGTGAATATGCTTATTTCTGTCATAAACATGTTTCATTGTAATTTCTGATAGATTTTTGTTATTTTCATTATGGTCTCTGTTCTCAATACATAAAGAGATAGTAAAACCGGCAAAGTTAAACTTTATACACCACTAACTACCAATCAGCGAGTGACCTTGAACGCACCAATCACACGAAACAGGCATTTTGATGTATGGAATACATATATTTATGGGAAAAATGCATGAAAACTGTATAAGTGTTATACAGGATGCCTTTCTCTCACATGTGATAAAAATATCTCCCAGTTTAGCATAGGAGTATTAGTTGAAAAGTTATACCACATCCTATAAATATATTCATTTGAATGACTATAAATGACATTCTTATGAGGTTCATTAATGGCTCTAATCCTGCTTTTAACCTTCCCCAAAAGCCTTCGATGGAATTGGTGTGTGTCTCTGTTATGGGATCCTTGAAATCGTTAGAATGGTTGACTCTGTGAGGAATATGTCCAAGGGATGACGAGGAGTTATAACCTTCCCACTCATATGTGTGTATTATAGATCCTTGTTTCATCAGAATTTCTATGTGCTATCCTCTCGACAAATCCTTTCTGTAGAGATGTATCATATAAACCAGTCACACAAACATTATTCACTCGTTCTCGACCAAAGTTGTATTTTTCCTTGAATAAGATGGCTTCATCTACATACACGACGACACCTCCTCCCCCCATTAAGAAAGTAAACCTCTCCATTTTCCAGGATACAATATCTCTGCACTGTTGGTACCACTGGACTGTTGATACGAGACTATTTTCAATTTCAGCAGCTGCTTCTCTCACAGGCTGTTTTAAAACTCAGTAATTACAAATATACAAAATCAAGGCTAAGGTCAGATGGGATCTGGAAAAAATGTTATTAGAATCAGCAGCAACTGCATTAGAGCTGGAAATTGACTCGAACAAAGCGGAATAGAAGCTTCAACTTAATCGGATAAAACCCATTGGATTATTCAAGGTCGATGATGCGGTCGCACTACATTGGCAGTTAGTGATGTTTAAAGTTTAATGTGGCCGTAAAACCTGGGATCTAAAGCTAAATTCTATTGTTCGCATCCAATCAAATTCGGTGACTATATCGAGCAGTTTTCTAGACACAATTATTGCTCAACTAGTTTTTATCATTACCTATCACAAAATACAGATCAAGGCTAATATAAAAGCTCCACCTAATACATTAACAAAGCGTTCACTATAAATCAATGCTTATAATTTTGAAGGGGAACTTGTATTAATTTATTTCAGTCACAAACTATCATATTTTTCTACATATTTTATAAGTAAGAAGTTGATTCTCACTTCAGAGAATAATAATAATAATAATAATAATAGAGCCTTATTTCAGACAATATGCCAAAATGTGGTACTAACATTTTCAGTATATTTAGTTCCAAAATACTTTTGTCTTCATACTGGATTTACACGTTAAGTAATAATCTGAAGTATATCTTCATTTCGATGAAGAACTGCACAACGTTTACTTAGAAGCAAGTTAAATCAGCGCTCAAGTTCATGTATAGATCATTTGATATAACTAGACGACTAAAACAATGATAAACCCAGATGAAATTAACCATTTTGGCTGGAAGTAATTTCAGTAGCCCAATGATTTAAACAGGCCATTTTAAGCTATTCTCTTCTTCCTTTTTTTAAACCTTGATAAAGTAACAACGGTTTCCCGACAGCCTACGTACAGTAACAGTACGACTTTGCACAAAAGTTTCATTTCACTTCTATCTTAATTCGTCTTTAGGGTGACTGTTTTTTTAATTCCCTTTGATTTTCTTACTGTCCATTATTGATTTTGTTCCGCCTACATAATTTAAGTAAGGAAATAGTTTCTTCGTCAAAAAGCTATTTACTTATGAAGAGTCATAACCAAGTACTTTTTTCTTCCAAACCACTCTCATTGTTCACACATAGCTTATCTGACATTTATAAAATGAGGATGTAAATGTGAAATCCTGTAAAATGATGCACCAGTTCAAGTTATCAGACTTTTAAAATGATAAAGATAGGAAAATAGACTAATTAATGATTACCGAAAAGTGTATCGTATGCTAAATGAGCTAATACGTGGTGAAGACCTGCAACATCATTTCACATCATCCATTCTAATCACCGTATTATCTGTCCTTATCAAGTGATTCAATCAAGATTTGTATAGTAAACAAAAAAGAAAAACTGAACGTTATCTAGTTTTGTTACATTAAAAAAAATGTATTCATTCTATTCGCTTTATACAGACTATGGATATCTGTCCAATGAGTTTGAATGTTTACAATACAAAACTTATCACAGTAACACCATCATTAATACACTCAGACATTTATTAGGTAATTTTACAACATTTCTCCAAGATTTTTTAATCACATTAATTCACTGTTCTTAAGAGTTGATCACGGATTGACATCAGTTAGAGAACCATTGAAAACCAGCACCGGAGTACTGGACAGCTGCTGTTTCATCAGTCTAGTTTGGGAATCATCGGCAGTACACACCCACCACCACAGTTCGAACCCAGGACTTTCCGGTTACAAGACTAGCGAGCCCGTATACCATTCATCCACTGGGACCCGATTCAATGGCCAGCCACCCCATGAATTCTAACTTCTACCAATTCCTGGTTTAGCGTGACCCAAACCATTGTCACCGGTGGGACATCCATCCACACACGTGACATCTGGATGGATCTCACTGGTCACGACTAATCACTAGGACTGACTCCAGGAAACTCCATCCTGTAGCAAGTCACTAGCGAGCATCAGATTAATTTTTCTATAGTTTGGTTTGTAAGGGTTAGTTTTGTTTCAACGAGCTGATGACGGATTGATATCAGTTAGAGAAACATTGAAAGCCAGCTGGGAGTGCTGGACAGTTGTTTCATCAGCCTAGTTTGGGAATCATCGTGATTTTATAATGACAACTTTCTAATTACTTGGTTAGAACTGAATTACCTGTAACGGACTTTTATGAACCAGGCTGTCTAAAATAAAAATTATATTAAGGCTGATAATACTATCTAGTTGCCTATATTGAAGTGGGAGTTGACATTTGAGCCAGTAACCCATGAGGGTGAAAATCGAGTGCTTAAGCCGATGGGCCAATATCTTCAACTAGACCACGGTATACAAAATGTAACCGTACAGATATCAACAAAGAAGGCACGCATGTCTATAAATCTTTAACTACTTTAAAACAAAAGCTAATGAAAAACATTATGATGTCCGAATCCTGTTAATGTGTATTTCTAAACTGGTTATCAAATTGTTTTGAACTACAGAATTTTTTCAAAGATTAACGTAAAAAAAATCTAGATTTCCAGCCATATCAACCTTAAAATGACGTATCGTATGATCGAAAACAATTCATCTTTTATGTCTTTCAGTGACCTTATTTCATGATAAAATTGAACTATTCCAATTAGTTTAATCAATACTATTTCACACAACTCTACATCATATACATTTATTAACCCATTTACAGTGAATATAAGAATTATCAATAATAATAAAACAACGTACAGCATTTTCAGACATCCATGAATCAAACTATTTTGGAATACTATCACACTTTGATTAGTGGATGGTGACTAGCAGTGGAATCCATGATGCGCATTTCGTCCTATTTGGGACTCGTCATCTGGATGTACTCGTTGCACAAGAGGTGGCTCTCGTGGCCCAAGTGGTCTAGTGGACAACGCTTTGGCATTTGATACTATGGGCACTGGGTTCAAGCCTCAGTGGGAACATCATCACTCAATGGGAAAGGTAGGTACATCCAGGTGACAAGTCCCAAATAGGACAAAATGCGCTTTATCCTGGATTCCACTGCTAGTCACCATCCACCAATTAAATTCTAGTTAAATGCCCAGATATCGTCGAAGCATCTGCACAAGTAGCCGACATGTCAACCCGAGACCGAGCACTTCGGCCCGATCAGTCAACGAGAAAATCTAAAATTCAATTAAAACTATCACACTTTTATAAACATTGTAATCAAGGCTATTTAAATTGTGAAATCCCGCACAGGTCAAAAAAAGAGTTGTCAATGAAACTCCGTTACAAATCACTGAATCCCCCATATTGTTAATTCACTTTCTCTTCATATTTCAGTTACAAATTTTCCACTCTTTTCTGTCTGTCTGTTTTCGACATAGAACTTTGCACAAATGTGCGGAAGTTCAAGTAGCCACACTCCGTGTAACACGCGAAGCAAGAGAAGAAAGTACAAGAAAAGCATAATAGAGACAGTGAGCAGAGGTGTGAGACAAAGGAGGAGTAATAACGAAGAACAAAACAGTTTCATTGGAAATCATAAGTCAAAAGGAGTGGATGCATCTGCGCCACTTAGAACGATTTTGAGCCATGTCACCAATTGTTTCCAACCATTTGTTTTTACCGTCTCGAGGACCCCAGCCTGGAAGTCCACCCTTTTAGGGAAGTGAAAGACGTCATGCCATTACTTTTTATTAAATAGGCAGAATCTTACGTCTTACTACACTCATGACATTCCCTGTTGCACTGAAATGCAAAAAGAAGAATATGAATCTCACAATCACTGTCATAAATATAACTGACAAGAAAACATTCAACGACTCCTGAAAAAATTCATGTTTAACTTCTTTAGAGAGCAACTAAGCATTTTTCCTGCATAAATTACAAAGATACCTCCTGTAAACCGAAAATATCAGGATAGGAATGACAGAAAAGTAGATAAAGACAAGAAGGCTTTCAAAGAGATGACAGAAAAACAGCACCGGAAGGTATGCAAAACAACATGTGAAAGAAATGACTGGAGACACGAACAAATGCCGTTAATAACATTTCATAGAAAAAAATAATAAAACCCTAGTGAAGCTGAAACTGACTTGTAAATCTTATAGTAGGTGAAGGATAGTACCAAGAGTTTAAATTTTCAGTACATGTAACACAGTGATCAGGTTAAGAGACTAAACTTCTCAAATCTCCAGAGGGTAACAAATATCACAAGGATGTAAAATCTGACTATTATTACCTCGATTTTTAATCCTAAGCTTTAGCCTAGTCTAGAGT